GGGCCTAGGCTCCTAAGCCTAGGCCCTAGTTTCAACTTAACTCATTATCATTCAACTATTCTTGATACACACTACTGCTGGACCTACCTACCGCACCAACGGTCCTTCTCCCATGGAGCTCGGTGTGGTGGAACAGCGTGCACGCAACCAGTCCACGCTTACGTGCTACTCGTGCGGGAAAGTCGGCCACATCAAGCGACATTGCCCGAACCGCCGCAACTTTGAAAGGTCTCCGGGAAACGGACAGCGCAAGTAGCAGTGGGGCAGACCTCTGGCGCATCGCATGCCCCGCTTCTCCTGACTCCATTATTCATCGGCACCTCTGAACTCTACACCACATCCAACGCTCCATTCCCCGCCATCATTCTATGCGCAAAAATAAAGAATCGCTACGTTGACTTTTTGCTCGATACCGGTGCTTCAGCAAATTTCCTCTCTCCCTCAATTGCTGCTGAACTTTCTCTCCCCGAAGATCCCAACAGCAACTCGCAGGACGTGATCATGGCAGATGGTACTCGGCGGCGCTGCGGACCTACTCTCCTCCCTATGCATTGCATGTTTGGAAGCTTGGAGGCGACGGTCACGTTCGAGCAACTGCACCTCGGCGGGTACGAAGACGTTATCGGTCGACCATGGTTGCACCAGTTTGGACCGCGGATTTATTGGCGCAACATAACTGTCACCATCGGCAACTACGACCTCCCATCCCACTCCTTTCCCCGACCATGGTCATCCCCAACCAGTTCCGCTCCATCAACCCATCCACCCCAACCTGTCCCATCTCCATCTTCCCATATACCCCCTCTCCCTCCTCCTCGCATAGCTCCTGTGCAGCAGCCAACACCACCCGGCTCCCCCGAAGTGATCAACACACCTCCTCCTTCTCCACCCCACCCAACCCAGCAGCCACGACGTCCCATCATCCGCCCCGCCTCCGAAGTTATCAATCCATCAGCCCCCACCCATCCATCACCACCTCCTCCTCATCATCTCCTAGTCATCTTCACCGCTCCCGAATTTGAACCATCACCCAACTCTCTCCCATCATCTATACAGAAGTTACTCCAAGGCTACACCGACGTCTTCCCCGAAGATCTTCCCGCCGAACTTCCACCCGAGCGTGCTATTGACCATAGCATCCGCCTCATTCCAGGTTCTACACCGCCCGTGCGCCCAACCTATCGCATGAGCACCGCTGAACTTTTGGAGCTCCGCCGTCAACTCGATGACCTTCTCGAGAAGGGTTTCATCCGCCCAAGCACCTCACCATACGCTGCCCCCGTGCTTTTCACCCGCAAGAAGGAAGGTGACCTGCGCCTTTGCATCGACTACCGCGCCCTCAACGCCATCACAATCAAGAATAAGTACCCGCTGCCCCGTGTCGAGGAGTTGTTCGACATGCTTGGGGAAGCAACAGTTTTCAGCAAGCTCGACCTACGCTCCGGTTACCACCAGATCCGGCTCGCTGAAGACGACATCAACAAGACGGCGTTTCGAACCCGCTACGGCCACTTCGAGTTCCGCGTACTTTCGTTCGGCCTCACCAACGCACCAGCCACGTTCATGGGACTCATGAACGACATTTTTCGGCCCTTCGTCGACCGCTTTGTCATCGTGTTCCTCGATGACATCCTCATTTTCAGCAAGTCACTCAAGGAACACGCTCAGCACCTACGCATCGTCCTCGACAAGCTTCGCCAACACCGCCTCTACGCCAAGCTCTCCAAGTGCACCTTCGCCCGTTCAAGCATCGGCTTTCTCGGCCATGTCATCAGCTCCAAAGGCATTGCTATGGACCCCGCAAAGGTCCATTGCCTTGCTGATTGGCCAGCCCCACGCACAGTAGCGGAGCTGCAAAGTTTCATCGGCCTCGCCAAGTATTACCGGAAACTCATTTTCAACTTCTCTCACATCTGCGCCCCTTTGACCGATCTCTTCCGTCAAGGAGCTGCCTTTCAATGGGGACTACCGCAACAGACTGCTTTCAACTCAATCAAATCAGCACTCACCTCTGCACCGGTCCTCGCCGTCGCCGACCCTTCACGCCCATACTTCATATGGACCGATGCTTCCAATGTCGCTGTCGGTGCCATTCTTTGTCAAGACCACGGCCATGGGATGCAGCCACTCGCTTTCGAGTCACGCAAGCTTCAACCGGCAGAGCGCAACTACGCAACACACGATCGGGAGCTCCTTGCCATTGTCCATGCAATCAAGACATGGCGCTGTTACGTGGAGCTGCAGCCCGTCACCGTCTACACCGACCACCGCCCTCTTCAACACTTGAAAACACACCCTGTGCTCAGCCGCCGCCAAGCCCGATGGGCTGAGTTTTTGGAGCAGTTCGTACCCTCACTTCAGATTATCTACCGCCCCAGAAAACTCAACCCAGCCGACATCTTGTCCCGACCACCACCACCAGCCCCACCACCCACCAACCAGCCCAAACCAACCACCAACCAGCCCCACCACTCCCCAATCAGCCCCACCTCATCACCTCCACCTCACACTCCGAACCTACCCTTGCAACTCCATGGAATCAGCAGCATCACTTGGGATGATACCTTCATCACGAAATTTCAGCGCGCCTACAAACGTGACCTGTTTTTTGTCAAGCAAGCACCCGAGGACCCGACCTACTCATTTGAAGACCCATTTTGGTACAACACCGTCACCAAGACCATTTGTGTCCCTGCAGATCGCTCCTTACGACAGCTGCTACTCTCCGAATACCACGACACCGTTACCGGCAGCCACTTTGGTGTTGAGAAGACCTACGCACGCCTCTCCAACGACTACCATTGGCCACGCATGCATGCTGATGTGCGTGACTTCATACGCACCTGCCGCACCTGCCGCACCTGCCAACAACTCAAAGCACGCACCACCAACCGCTACGGACTCCTTCAGCCCATCCCTCCACCTACCAAAGTGTGGGATGAAGTCACCATGGACTTCATCATGGATCTGCCCCGCACACCCCGCAGCTACAACGCTATCCTAGTCGTCGTCGACCGACTCTCCAAAATGAGCCACTTCATTCCTACCCACACAACCGTCACCGCACCCGAAACAGCCCGACTCTTCTTCGATCACATAGTCCGCCTACATGGTCTCCCATCCGCCATCATTTCAGACCGTGACCCCCGCTTCTTGAGTAACTTTTGGCAGAGCCTCTTCAAGCTTCACGGAACCCGGCTGAAGTTTTCTACCGCGTATCACCCCGAAACGGACGGATGAACCGCACGCTTGAAGACTCCCTCCGTGCACAAGTTACTGCTCGCCAAACTGATTGGGATCTCCACCTCACCGCCATCGAACTCGCATACAACAGCACACCCCACCTTTCCACCGGCCAGCCACCCTTCTACCTCGCAACCGGACAGCACCCCCGCCTCCCCATGACCCCACCCCCCCACCTCTCCCACGCACCAGCAGCCTTTGAGTTCCTCACCTCGCTCGGATCAGCCATTGATGCCGCTCGCACCTCCATCCTTAAAGCTCAAGCCAAACAGACCCACTATGCCAACTCCCACCGCAAATATATACGCTTCAAGGTTGGCGATCAAGTGTTACTCTCCACTGACCACGTACCTCTCCTACGCAAAGGCACAACCAGAAAACTCGCCCCTCGCTTTATTGGCCCGTTCACCATCACCCGAGTCCTCTCACCAGTCACCTACCGTCTCCAACTGCCCAACTATATGAAGATTCACCCCGTCTTCCATGTCCAGCGGCTCCGCCCTTTCCGTGCACCTTCACACGACCGTCCAGCCACACGCCAACTGCCACCGATGTTCGAAGGCAGCCCCGGCCTGTTTGACGTTGCATCTATCGCTGCACATCGCGACACACCTCATGGTCACGAGTTTCTTGTTCATTGGAAGGACCAGCCTACTAGTGACGACTCATGGGAACCAGAGAGCCACCTTGACCGTGCCGCAACTGCTGTGAATCGGTATTTGACCAGCCACGGTTTGGCGCCGTGGACGGCGCCACTTGGAGGGGGAAGTAATGTAACAGTGTGGCAGCCGAATGCTGCCAAGTACAGTGCAGGTGGGCGGAAGTCAAGCGCCACCTCACCAACTGCTCGTATTGGTCAAACGCCTCAACCTGCAGCTGGGCGACCAGGTCCTGACGCGCAGCCCAACACAAACCCTCGCGCGAAAATTACGAAACGCAGAACACCGAAGTTCCGACCGCTCGCCGACTTCGCCAACAACACCGACGAAATTACAGCTCCGTAACCAAGCTCGCCGTCCAATCCCGTACCGCAATAATTCTCTAAATTTCACGGCAGGTTCATTTCAAAGGGGTTGGGTTACCATTGAAAAATTCAGAGAGAGTCGCGACTTGGGAGTGAGACTCGATATTTGAATGTGCTCGATAAAATTGTACTGTGAAATTTGTGAAGTCATAGTGCAATTTCCAGAGAACTCCAGAGAGCACTCTATCCTCGTTTTCCTAGCCTACTAAGGCTGCTACTTCCCTGGCAGCAACGTTTCAAACCACAATCACATCGCACCGCCATCATCTCGGCATTAGTGGTGTTGACGATAAAGTATTCGCGACGGCGCACGCAGCATGCGCCTTTCGTATATGGCGGACGAAGCACGCGCTTTGAAAATAGTCGCACCCGTCGATCGCAGATAATAAGCACAACAAACGTCACTAGAACCGTCAGGCGCGACCGCTGAAATGAAGAGAAATCGACGCGACCACGTGCAAACACGTTCAAGCATCTGCCCCGTTCCACCGTCACGACTCGCAATCCTGCAGCCCAGTGAAATTACCCAAGTGCCGCGCTCTCGTCTTTTACGCAGAGCGACTCACGTTACATCCGTCTTTCCCTCCGAGTTTCCTTCCCTCGTTCTACCCTCCCTCCACTCGCGCTGCTTCCCCGCTTCCACTCGCGCTGCTTCATCGCATCCCTCGCGCCGCATCCCCGCTTTCCCTCGCGCTGCTTCCCCGCTTCCCCTCACGCTGCCTCTCCGCGTCCCTCACACAGCTTCCCCGCTTCCCCTCGCGCTGCATCCCCGCTTCCCCCCGCGCTGCTTTTCCGCGTCCCTCGCATTGCATCCCCGCTTCCCCTCGCGCTGCTTCTCCGCGTCCCTCGCGTTGCATCCCCGCTTCCCCTCGCGCTGCTTCTCCGCGTCCCTCGCGTTGCATCCCCGCTTCCCCTCGCGCTGCTTCTCCGCGTCCCTCGCGTTGCATCCCCGCTTCCCCTCGCGCTGATTCTCCGCGTCCCTCGCGTTGCATCCCCGCTTCCCCTCGCGCTGCTTCTCCGCGTCCCTCGCGTTGCATCCCCGCTTCCCCTCACGCTGCTTCTCCGCGTCCCTCGCGTTGCATCCCCGCTTCCCCTCGCGCTGCTTCTCCGCGTCCCTCGCGTTGCATCCCCGCTTCCCCTCGCGCGACTGCTTCTCCGCGTCCCTCGCGCAGCCTCGCCGCTTCCCCTCACACAGCTTCCCCGCTTCCCCTCGCGCTGCTTCCCAGCTTCCTCTCACGCTGCATCCCCGCTTCCCCTCGCGCTGCTTCCCCGCTGTACCCCCCACCTTCCTATTCGCACCATTCCCCTTTGCTTACCCGCTGGTCCCCCCTCGCTCTCTGTTCCACCACTCCCATCGTGGTCCTATCTCCCTTCTCTGCCCTCTATCTGATCCCTGTCCTATCTCCCCTCACTGTCCTCTCTCCATTCCCTGCCCTCCCTCCCCTCACCTCCTATCCTGTCCACATGCAAGCTCCCCTCTCTCCACGGCTGTCCATGAACGCCCTTCCTGCCCCCTCACGCTTAGCATTCCGGAGGCAAGAGAGAGGGGGGGGGCGAGTAGCAGAGAAAACGTAGAGGGAACCGGAATGTGCAGCGAGGAGGCGTGAGGTTAACCCCTTGGTTACCAATTGTTTCCCTCTTGCTTCCCCATTGTTTCCCCCCTGCTCACACTTTGTTTCCCCCCTGTGTCCCCGTTGGTTCCCCCACTTACCCTTCGTTTCCACCTGCTTCCCCGTCGACCTCGCTGTCCCCCGCGCCGACGTCCTGGTTTCCCGCTCCGCCCCCTTTTCTACCCTTCCCAGTGCCCGTGTTTACCACCCCCTCCTTTTCCCCACCCTAAGCTTCACTCTCAACCACGTCCTCCCCCGTGAAACAAGCACTCCGCTTTCCACTTCCTTCCTCCCATCCTACCAGCCGCCAAGCCTAATCAACTCCTTTGTACCCTCCCATTCCTCCCTTTCACCTTCCCAGTCGTTCATTTCACCTCCTCACCCCTATTGCCCCTTCCAATCACTGCAGCGATCCGTTTTGGCAATGCCTCTTTCCCCCTCCTCACTCTCTCCCCCCCTCCTCAATCTGTTTCCTTTGCGCACTCTCCTTCCGCTTGCTCACTCTCTTTCCTCTTGCTCACTCTCTTTCTTCTTGCTCACTCCTCACTCACTCTCTTCCCCATGCCCACCCTCTCCCCCCCTGTTCAATCCCTTTCCCCATGCCCACCCTCTCCCCCCCTGTTCAATCCCTTTCCCCATGCCCACCCTCTCCCCCCCTGTTCAATCCCTTTCCCCATGCCCACCCTCTTCCTCCCTGTTCACTCCCTTTCCCCATGCCCACCCTCTCCCCCCCTGTTCAATCCCTTTCCCCATGCCCACCCTCTCCCCCCCTGTTTAATCCCTTTCCCCATTCCCACCCTCTTCCCCCCTGTTCACTCCCTTTCCCCATGCCCACCCTCTTCCCCCCTGTTCACTCCCTTTCCCCATGCCCACCCTCTTCCTCCCTGTTCACTCCCTTTCCCCATGCCCACCCTCTCCCCCCCTGTTCAATCCCTTTCCCCATGCCCACCCTCTCCCCCCCTGTTCAATCCCTTTCCCCATCCCCACCCTCTTCCCCCCTGTTCACTCCCTTTCCCCATGCCCACCCTCTTCCCCCCTGTTCACTCCCTTTCCCCATGCCCACCCTCTTCCCCCTGTTCACTCCCTTTCAACATGCTCACTCTCGTTCCCCCTGCTTACTTTCTCCCCCCCTACTCTCTTTCCCCCTGCTCGATCTCTTCCCTTCTGCTCACTGTCTCACTTGCACTCTGTTTTTCCCTGCACATTCTGTTCCCCCCTGATCACACCCCTATTCAACCCCTACTTACTGTGTTTCCCCTTCACTCACCTCCGTTACCCCCCATGCAGTGTACATGTGCCCAGCACCAGGTGTAGGGAGGGAACCACAAGTCCTGGTTTTTTGCTGCTGTGTATGTAGACAAGAGGGGATGGGAAGAACCATACGGTAACAGTGACTGAATTTTGTTATTTTTGCCTCGATTGTTGCACTTCGTAGGTGGTCAATGGTCACTCTCACTACTCCACGGATAAAATGTTATTAGTATAATAGTAAGCATTCAACATTGGCATGGCTAACAACTTGTGGTACGGCACTATGCAACAACCAAATGCGTAGGGGGAGGACGTGTACAAACACGACTGTGAAAATCAGATGCTCGTGGCTGAATCAGCTGGTAAGCATACCGGTACAAAAAATTGATAACTGACAGGCAAGCACCTGCGAGCAGGAAGAAATAAAGAGACACAGAGGGAGGAACAGAAGGAAGGAGGAATGGAAGAAGGGAGGTAGGGAGGAAGGGAGGAACAGACGAAGGGAGGGATGGATGAAGGGAGGAACAAATGTAGGAAAGGATGCATGACGGGAGGAACATGGGACTGAAGAATGAAGAATGTGAGGGAGGGCAGAAGGGAGGAATGCAGGGTAAGGGAGGAATGCAGAAGAGACTCCAGCAGCACCACCACGTCCGCCTCTGCTGTGGGACTCTGCCCACCGCCATCCACCCACAGCGCCCCAAGCAGCTCCCTGGTGCAGAAAAGCACAAGGGATGAGGGGTGAGGAGGAATGGGGTGAGGAGGAATGGGGTGAGGAGGAATGGGGTGAGGAGGAATGGGGTGAGGAGGAATGGGGTGAGGAGGAATGGTGTGAGGCGGAATGGGGTGAGGAGGAATGGGGTGAGGAGGAATGGGGTGAGGAGGAATGGGGTGAGGAGGAATGGTGTGAGGCGGAATGGGGTGAGGAGGAATGGGGTGAGGAGGAATGGGGTGAGGAGGAAAGGGGTGAGGAGGAATGGGGTGAGGCGGAATGGGGTGAGGAGGAATGGGGTGAGGCGGAATGGGGTGAGGAGGAATGGGTTGAGGAGGAAAGGGGTGAGGAGGAATGGGGTGGGCGGAATGGGGTGAGGAGGAATGGGGTGAGGCGGAATGGGGTGAGGAGGAATGGTGTGAGGCGGAATGGGGTGAGGCGGAATGGGGTGAGGAGGAATGGGGTGAGGCGGAATGGGGTGAGGAGGAATGGGGTGAGGCGGAATGGGGTGAGGAGGAATGGGGTGAGGCGGAATGGGGTGAGGAGGAATGGGGTGAGGAAGAATTTGGTGAGGCGGAATGGGGTGAGGCGGAATGGCGTGAGATGTGGGATGGGGAGATGTGGATGGGGAGATGTGATTGGGGAAATGTGGGATGGGGAGGTGAGGGATGGGAAGGCGGAATGGGGTGAGGCGGACAGGGGGGAGAGAGAAGGACAGGGGGGAGAGAGGACAGGGGGGAGAGAGAAGGACACGGGGGAGAGAGAAGGACAGGGGAAAGAGAGAAGGACAGGGGGGAGAGAGGAGGACACGGGGGAGAGAGAAGGACAGGGGGAAGAGAGAAGGACAGGGGGGAGAGAGGAGGACAGGGGGAAAGGGAAGTGCAGGGAGGACGTCAAGAAGGGAGGGGAGGGAAGGGAAGCGAAGAGAATAGAAGGGATTGGAGGGCGATTGAAGCAAAGTGAAGGGAGGGGTAGTGCATTGTGAAGGAGTGAAAAGGTGCTCTGTGAAAGGCTGAACAAGGAGGAGCGAACTGGTGGAAAGGGGAAGTGCGACCTGGGGGAAAGGGGAAGTGCGACTTAGGGGAAAGGGGAAGTGCGAATGCGATCTGGGGGAAAGAGGAAGTGCGACCTGGGGGGAAGGGGAGGTGCGAACTGGGGGAAAGGGGAACTGCGACCTGGGGGGAAAGGGTGGAGCGACCTGAGGGAAAGGGGAAATGCGATCTGGGGGAAAGAGGAAGTGCGACCTGGGGGGAAGGGGAGGAGCGACCTGAGGCGAAGGGGAAGTGCGACATGCGGGACAGATGGGAGGATAGGGAAAAGAGAATGGGTTTCGTTACTGGAGGCGACGAGGCGGCGGTGGAATCGAACGCGATGGCGGCGATGCGGCAGGCGGCGATTTGGCGGTGATGCGCCGACGACGAGGCGACGCGGCACGGGGGGTCGCACGGCCAAGGCGAGAAGCAGTGCGGAGGCGAGTTTAGCGGATTAGGGAACACATAGTGCGAGGTGCGATGTGGCGGCGATGCGCCGATGAGGTGGCGAGGCGGGGAGGAAAGAGACCGAGGAGGCTGGGAAACTTGGGAGTTGGGGAGGCGGTTGCGAGGTGGCGACTCGGCAATAAGGCAGCGACGACGGGAAAGCGATGCGCCCGCCGTTTATAACTTCGCGAGCTAGCCGCGATATTGCCAGCAACATACGACGAGGCTTGCGTGTACGCGTGGGGGGGCGGAGACTCTACCATCCGGGCTCTATCGTCGTGGCGATAGGGAAAACACGCTTAGTTTATGTGTAATGGTGATAGTCTAGATGTAAGTTGGCTTTCACTGTCAGGTTGTTGTTTGTCACATGGTTCCCTTCCCTGGTTGCGCCAGATGCTTGGTTTCCGCCGTTCTGCGGGGTTATTGCCCAGCCCGATCTCCGAGCGAAATTGGTTGGCCTCGCCAGCCAAAATTGAATCCCTCGCACCAGCTTTCCGTACCCTAATAATTTCGTTGTCCAATCAGACCCCATCAAAGGGTGTGCTCTAACAATGCCCCCAAAAACCACCCCCAGGAATGTGCACCCTTGCTTTAATGTACTTGTATTTTGTATGAATTGTACCTGTATGTAAGGAATTTTCCCGAATTCCTTATCGGGGTTGACTGCTTCGCGTACAACCCGATTTTCGGAGTTCGCACGTTCGGCCGATTTCAACGTTGCCGAGGCTCCTCGCGTCGCCTTCGGTTTTCTCATCGCCAAACCTGCACCCAACCTTGCTCGTCCGAGGTTCTCTCCTAGCTAGAGTAGTTCTATATTAGTTTGGGCATTCATTGTATTCGCAGTTGATTCAGTCACAGCTTCGTTATTCGTTTACCTGCGCACTCTCTTTTACAACTCATAACACCTGGTATCAGAGCTACTTTCCTAGTTCACCCCGCTTTTCCGAGGGTAGTTTGGTGGCATAGGGTGTGGCTGGTTTAGTGACTACACGACGGTTGGCTGCAGGGATTGTTAATTCAATCCTGCCCGACTCCGATAGTTCGTGTTTTCATTTGCCTGAAGGCCACGGAGACCCGACTGCCCACCAGACGTAGCGTTAGGCACATGGATCATGAAGCTGTCAACAGGATGATGGCGCAAGTGGCAGAAATGCAGGAAAGCATGAAGACGTTAATGGCGGAAGTGACGACACTACGAGAGGAAAACGCCGAACTACGCCAGACGCGAGGTGAAGCGCGTCAGGAGTCGCCTGTGGACGAAGGCGAGGGCAACAGTCAGGCGATGAGCAATCCATTGGATGCGCTCACACGTGATTTTGAAGAAGAGGATAGACAGCGAGCGGTAGCAGCTCCAGTGGCAGTGACAACGATCAAAATCAAGCCCGTCAATCCACCTCCGTTTAATCCTACGGACAAAACGGTTACGGTAAAAGGGTGGCTGTTTGGGGTCGAAGTCTTCTTTACTGCAGCCGGAGTTAATGACGACGCTACGCGCATTAATTACGCAGTTTCACTTCTTCGAGGTGCAGCGCTTGAATGGTGGCGCCGAACCTTGGAAACAGAGACGCCGACAAGTGTGACACATGCGGCAGACGGGACCTCTACAGTGACTAATCAAGTGGCAACGTCGATCTTCGGAGTGACCACGATACGCACGTGGAAGGAGTGGGGCGCAGCCTTACGAGGTCGCTTCGAGCACATATCCGCCTCGGAGCAAGCTCGCATGAAGCTGCGTGCATGGTCGCAGATGGCTTCTGTCCAAGACTACACGGCGTCATTTATGAGCCTCGTCGACCAAGTTGATGACATGTCGGAAGCTGAACGGCTGGATAAATACATCAGCGGCCTCAAATACGAGATACAGTACGAGGCTCGCAGGAGCCGTCCGACGACATTTCTTGCAGCAGTACAGTTGGTGGAGTCCACAGATGCGCTGATGCAGTACGCGAGAGCAGCTTCCCGGGAGGGAAACCGTTTTCGTGGCCAGACCCATCGGACCACGATCAACGCCGTCCATACACCCGACCCCCCTCCTAAGGGACCGTGTTTCCGGTGTGGGAAGACGGGTCACTACATGAAAGATTGCCACGAGAAAACGCCGCTGACGGGGAACGACAGGAAGGAGCAGGGAAATGGGAAGAGTCAGTAATTAGCGGGCCCTTTACTGACTGTGCTCCGTCGCCCGAACCCCACCATCCCCACCGAGTCGTGGTTCCGATTCATGCAATCGATCGCACTCGGCCGAATAACGGGGATAATCATGTGGATCACCCTGTGCTGGTCGCCGGTAAGGTGTTAAAACATAACTTGAAAATGTTCGTCGACGGAGGGGCCAGTCATAGCCTCTTCAATTTGGCGAGCGCAAAAAAATGCAAGTTGCAACTTGACAGGTGTCTGCCCGAAATCGACGCTCGCCTCGTGGATGGGACGCCTCTGGCGATAACGGAACAAACACGGACGGTCAGGATCGAATGCGGCGACGATTTCGGCTTCAGCATGAAGTTCCTCGCGACAACGTTGGATGGCTGCGATGTACTGCTGGGACGCGATTGGCTGCGACGGCACAACCCCGTCATCGACTGGACAACGGGATCGTGCAGCATCAACAAGCAAGAGGGGCTAATTATACTACCTGCATGGACGCCTGACTACATCCAAGCCCCGTGCGTCAAAGCTATCACTATAGCTCGCCACTTCAACAGAGGCGCGCAACTGTTCGCTGTTTGCTTACGCGAGTTGGCGGTTGACACCGACGGAAAGGACATCGAGAAGCTGTGTGCAGCTGTACCTCCGGATTTAGCGGAGCTGATTCGGAGGTACCCGGAAATCTTCCCCGACGACCTGCCACCTGGACTGCCACCGGAGAGACCTGAGGACCACAAAATCCAGCTGGAACCCGGAGCGCAACCAACCGTTCGGACACAGTGGCGGTTGACCCAGCCGGAACTCAAGGAGCTGCGCCGACAAATCGATGCACTATTGGAGAAAGGATTCATTCGGGCCAGCACCTCGCCCTTCGCAACACCAATCCTGTTCACTCCGAAAAAAGACGGCGGACTTCGCATGTGCATCGACTATCGTGCGCTGAACAGGGTCACCATCAAGTCTCGCTACCCAATCTCACGCACCGACGACCTCCTCGACCAACTTCGTGGCGCTCGCTACTTCTCGAAGATTGACTTACGCGGCGGTTACCATCAAATTCGAGTCTTCGCCGATGATTGTCACAAGACTGCGTTTCGCACACGCTACGGGAGTTACGAATTCACGGTGATGCCTTTTGGCCTCACGAACGCGCCCTCGACTTTTCAACTGACCATGAACAGGGTGTTTCGGGATCTTCTAGACATGTGCGTCATCGTCTACTTGGACGATATCCTCATCTATAGCAAAACAAGGGAGCAGCACCTCAGTGACCTGGACGCAGTGTTTAAGCGGCTGCAGGAGAACCGACTCATCACCAAAGGCTCTAAGTGCGAGTTTTTTAAGCAAGAGTTGGAGTTTTTGGGGCACGTCATTTCACGCGACGGCATTAAAATCGACCCGGCGAAAATCAAGACCATACAGGAGTGGAAGTCCCCGACGAACGTCACGGAACTCCAGAGTTTCCTCGGATTCGTCAATTACGTCAGGAGGTTTATCCCGAATATGGCGGGGATAACCGGCCCACTGACCGACCTGCTGCACAAGGACAGGAATTTTGTGTGGGGGGAAGACGCAGAGGCGGCTTTCCAGGAACTCAAACATTTTCTCGTTTCCCCTCCTGTGCTGCGCATCGCCGATCCATCGAAGCCGTTCGAAGTTGTAACCGACGCCTCAGATTTCGCCATCGGGGCTGTACTTCTCCAAGATTTCGGGAACGGGTTGCAGCCGATAGCCTACGAATCACGGAAGCTGCAGGCAGCCGAACGCAACTACCCGATCCACGACAAGGAGATGCTCGCCATCATAGACGCATTTAAATTGTGGCGATGGTACCTGGTGGGCGCCGACGTCACTGTTCGCACGGACCACAAATCCCTACAGTACCTGCGAGCCCAACCCAACCTCAACCCACGACAGATTCGATGGCTCGACTACATGGAGAGCCGTTTCACCTACCGCATCACGTATAAAAAAGGGGCTAATAACATCGCCGACGCCCTGACCCGACCGACAGTACAATCCGTTGCAGTACTCATCACCCACTCGAACCCGCTACTTACCGGACTATTCACCCACGGCTACACGACAGACCCCTTCTTCACTACGGGAAATCATCAGCAGGCTACGACGCAGAAAGGGGACTACTACCTAAAAGCCGGAACCGACCGGATTTGGGTTCCCGCTTACCGACTGCTGCGTGAGCTCCTCATCCAGGAGATACACGATTCCAACCTCTCCGGACATTTCGGGGTTGATAAAACCCAGAAGATACTGCACCGTCAATATTACTGGCCTGATTCCTCTAACGACGTGCAGCGATATGTGTCCTAATGCAGGGTGTGCCAAGCAATGAAGTCGACACGTCAGCGACCAGCTGGACTAATGCAACCCCTCGAGCCACCCGAATGACCGTGGCAACAAGTGACAATGGATTTTGTCACGGGGCTGCCAGCTGGGCCGACAGGCAACGACGCTGTTCTCGTCGTCGTCGACCGCTTCACGAAAATGGCGCACTTCGCACCATGTCGAACAACAATCACAGCCTAAGAAACTGCGGGACTTTTCATCTCGACGGTCGTGCGACTGCACGGCATCCCTTCGGCGATCATCAGCGACCGCGACCCCAAATTCACGTCCAAATTCTGGAAGGAAACGTGGGCACAATACGGCACGAAGCTACAGTTCTCATCGGCCTACCACCCGCAGACCGACGGTCAAACCGAGCGGACCAACCAGACCATGGAGCAGTTAATACGAACAAACTGCCCCGACCCTGCCCGCTGGGAAGACCCGCTCGCCATGCTGGAATTCGCTTTCAACAACGCACCATCCAGCACGACTAATCACTCCCCGTTTTTTCTCAATTATGGGATGGACCCGGTGGTTCCAACGACAACTACACTCACCAACCCGGTTCCCCGTTCCCAGACTTTCGTGACGGAACTTCAGGAAGTCCGAGAAAAAGCCGCCGATGCAATTCGCAAGGCGAATATTACGTCCCGCAAATATACCAACCTTCTACGACGGGAGCTCATCTTGACAGCTGGGCAAGTAGTCCCCCTCGACACGAAGAACCTGAACCTGCCCGGCCCTGCGAAACTTCGGCCACGATTTTGCGGACCGTTTAAAATTCTCAAGATGGTGACACCTGTCACATCGAAGCTGTTGCTCCCTGACGACTGGCATATCCATGACGCATTCCACGTCAACCTTCTTCGGAAGTTCGTGCCTACCACGACCGACATTGCACGTCAGCCAGCGGTCCCGACAGCTCGCCCCGTACCGGAGCCAACCCTTGACCCGTCTAAGATCCTCGCTCATCGGGTCCGCCTTGATGCCGCTGGTCGCCACGTGGATTTTTTGATTGGCTGGACCGACCGCACCAGTGAGGACGACACGTGGGTGCCATCCGCTTCACTGGACGCCTCGACGCTTGTTGGTGATTATCTGGCGCGACGGCGTGTTTCCACTATTGACTCCCTTTCTTAAGGGGAGGGGTGGTGTAAGGAATTTTCCCGAATTCCTTATCGGGGTTGACTGCTTCGCGTACAACCCGATTTTCGGAGTTCGCACGTTCGGCCGATTTTAACGCTGCCGAGGCTCCTCGCGTCGCCTTCGGTTTTCTCATCGCCAAACCTGCACCCAACCTTGCTCGTCCGAGGTTCTCTCCTAGCTAGAGTAGTTCTATATTAGTTTGGGCATTCATTGTATTCGCAGTTGATTCAGTCACAGCTTAGTTATTCGTTTACCTGCGCACTCTCTTTTACAACTCATAACACTGTAGGTGGGTTAATTGTCTGTCAACAGGCTAACCACTCCGCACATCGATCCTGACAGACGATCTAGTCTACTTTCGCCGCGTCCTAAAGACGCGGCACCTCAAGCAATTCTGCACGATCGATCGCAGGATCGCTGACTCAATCGTACTGAAATTCTTTTGAAAGTCTTTAAAGCTTCTGAAACCATTTAAAACTCCTAAAACATTCGATCCTGCGCAGGATCGATTGCAGGGTCGGTGCTGGAGGTGCCGCGTCCTAAGTTTCAGCTGACGTCTTCGAGTTCCAACCCAAGAGCAGTCACTTTTCGTCGTACACCATGTTTGGGTCCGTGTGTGTGGTGTGGAGGGACATCAACCAAGACACCCGACTCCCGAGCCAAGGTCCCTTCGTCATGTCGGCACGACGGGACAAACCGGGGAGCGGGGACAGCCTCCTCTCTCCATTCCGCGTCATGGTTGAGAAAGCACGAATCGGTGATGTGGACAATCGTTCTGTCCAGGGTGATGAGGTTTCCTCACGGCTCCATCCAGAATCTATCCAGGGTGTCGCAGAACGGTGCGGGACTGTCTCCAACAAGATGCTGCCCGCTTGTACCTCCCAACGAAATCTGTGGCGAAGAACGTGACAATATCGACTCGCTGACGAGTCGCAAGCAACCTTTGTTGACCATTCTCGCAACGCTATCGACCTGCTTCTTCTTACCCTGCTGTACATTGTTTTCAAATGGATTTCTAGGTCTAGTGAATAAGGGTTCCTTGGCGACCATAACGAAGAAATGCTGAAATGCGCTTGCGCTGATCCATCTCGTGTTCTGAAATCCCCAACATACGTTTTAGTAATGGCTGGCTGCGTCCTGGCAACCTGACCGAAACAGAAGTCCACAACAATGTCCGAATCCTAGACCCGAACAAATTTCTCCACGGCCTTCGTCGTGTCTCACGAGTCGCGACTCGCAAGTCCCCACAGAAATTCGGCTGCTGCTGCTTCATCACCGCACCAGTGACGCCGCCAGCAAACGGTGCGGTTCGAGGACCTAGAACCCACCCAACCCAACCCAAACAAACCAAAACCAGCCAAACCCAAACCAACCCACCACACCCACCATGACCATCGCTTGAGGTAAGTAACCTCACCACACACGTGTACACGTCTCTCAGCCTTCCCCCACCTCAACTAACCATCTCCCTTGCTCCTTTCGCAGCTTGAGACGTCGGGCCTCGTGACAGGTGGTCGTTTTGGACGCACATTGCCGTCGCTGCAGCAAGTATTCTGTATTTGTTGTCTCGCCAGGCCTACGGTAGGCCATTGAAAATTACCACCTTGCGACGAAGCCGCCGACCAACCTGTCTAGTTTGCGTCTGTAGCCCAAGCATCAAAGTAGCAAATCCGCCATTCGCCTATCATCCCACCCCCGTAGGAGCCGCTAAGTACATAACCAATCGCCCTTCCTCGGTTCCATCAAACTGCTATTGCGACACCTGGTCGTACCGACGAATCCATTAAGAGCCATAGTACCTTCCGTCCTGACTAATCTCTCTGACAAAGTCACATTTGCGTAGAACAGTTTGGACTATCTCAGTCCAAAGATTCCACCGCAAACATACTTCAAGTATCATCGCGTTATTGCACATTCGGATTATCTACATACCTCTTTAAACAGTCCAACAGGCAGCGCCCTCTACGCCGTGACGACCAGCGTTCAATCTCCGATCTCGAAACTCTCGAGGCCACAACCAAGTCACCCGAGGCGCTGTGGTCGTCTCAAAGCACTCCGCCACACCGTGTCGCCCGTCATCTCATTCCAACGATGGCCAGCCAACAAGAGCGCCCTCCACCGCGTCATTCCCGGCGAATTGTATGGCAGTTCGTGCTGCACGTGCTATTAATCTCCGGCCTCCTCGGCTTCTCCTCCGCGTTTCGTCTTCCTTTGCGACGTGCGTACTACAATACCAGCTGGCGTCTCAAACTTTCTTAACCTCAAAGCCCTTCCTCCTCTCCCACCTCTCCCCTTCGTTTCCCTCCTGTTTGGCCTCTAAGCCTCTGTCCTTTCATCTCTGACGCTCTCTCGCTCCGGCTCGCCCGAATTCTGTTTCGCCCCTCGCTCTTCCTCTCTCGCTCCGGCTTATCCTCTTCGCCCGTCTTCTGTTTCGCCTCTCGCTCTTCCTCTCTCTCTCCTTCGTCTAAGCCCCTCTCCCCGCACTTCAATTCCTTCCGCCTCTCTGCCCTCTCTCCCATCTCTCCGCCTCACCCCTCTCCCGCCTTCCCCTCACCCCTTCACCCCCTCGCCCCGCCAACAGTACCGCGCGCCAAACCTCCCGCCTCGTCCCCTCTCTACATCGTCCGCCTCCGATCCGCCCCCGTAGCCGCGCAAACTCTCGGCATCGACGGCATTTCCTTCTACGGCTCTTCTCCCGACGTCGCCCAAACCGCGGAAGCCGCCACTTCCGTCGGCGCAGCCATGGCGGCACAGTTAACGGGGGCGGCGGCGGCGGCGGGGTCGCTTGGCGGCCGGTTGCGGCGGCCGCGGCGGTTCGACGCGCAATCGAATGTAGTGCGGATGCTGGTGCGGTGGCTCGGGCAACAGCAGGAGCAGGTTGCTCGTGACGTCAGCTTGCCTGCTTCCGCCGTAGCGCACAGGTGAGTGTGGCGTGTTACGTTGCGCAATTCTCGAGAATGATCCAAAAGTCGTCTGCTCGAGCGCTCGCCTTTCAAAAGTCGTCTGCGCAAACGCACGCACACCAACTAAGCTGTTCTCCTCTCCTCGCTACGCCCCTCCTTTCCTTTCTCCCCCCTTTCCCCCGCCCCCGTGACAACGGTTGTCCCTACCAGCTACCGTTACGTTACCAACGGGTTCGCCGCGACGCTCACTGCGGGCCAGATCCGCCGGCTGCGCAACCATCCGTCAGTTCTGTCGGTCCGTCCGAGCCAGCGCGTGTACAAGGCGTCCACCGACACGCCCACGTTCCTGCGCCTGCCCGGCTCGCTGTGGGCGGAGGCGGGCGGGCAGAGAAGCGCGGGGGAGGGAGTGGTGGTGGGGGTCGTGGATACCGGCATCTGGCCCGACCATCCCTCGTTCGCTGACGATGTAAGCGCGATTACACCTGATTACCCATTCCAGCGATTACAACACCGCCATGTACCGCATTCCACCCTACTGCCATCGCGTCCTCCGCCTGCTCTTCCGGCCCTGCATTTGACTCCGAGTCCTCCTCATCCCTCATTTTCCCCACTCCCGTGTTGTCTTTCACCATTCTCCCCTTCCCCACCTGTCCCATTCTTCCCCCCGTCCCTTCTTTTCCGCAGGGCTCGTACGCTGCTCCGCCTGCCACGTGGCGCGGCACCTGCCAGACCTCCAAGGACTTCCCCCGCTGCAACCGCAAGCTCATCGGCGCGCGCTACTTCGTCTCCGGCTTCCGCCAAGCCTACGGGCGCGAGAGCCTCTCCGCTGACTGGCTCTCCGCGCGCGACGCCGACGGCCACGGCACGTGGTGCGCCAGCGCCGCCGCCGGGAACGCCAACGTGAGCGTCGCGCTCGCGCGCGGGCAGACCGCGGGGCTCGCGAACGGAATGGCTCCACGCGCGCGCGTCGCGATGTACAAAGTGTTCTGGTCCAATTACAATTCCGGCGGTGTGACTGCCACGTGGGCGGACATCGAGGCCGCCGTGAATCGCGCCGTGGCGGATGGCGTGGATGTGCTCAGCCTGTCGCTGGGCGGCCTAGATCCCTCCGCGGATTACTTCGACGACTTGCCCTATTTCTATGCCAACGCGGTAAACAACGGCTCTCGGCTCTCGGCTCTAGTACCATCCGATCTCCTGTCTGTCTCCTGAGAAGCTTTAGCTCCTTTCTTTTCTTTCTCCCTTGTGTTTTAACCTTGCCTTTCCTGGCTCCCCAGTCTTTTGTGGACGAAGCGATGCCACAGTACCACAACATCCTCTCCCTCGCCTCCCTCTACCACCCATCCCCACCACCACTCACTCCCCTCTCTCCTCCTTCGCCCCTCGTCGCCTCTTCCTCTCCTCCCCGCCTCCCAGGCGGGGACAGTGGTGGTGTATGCAGCGGGCAACGAGGGGCCACCGCCGTACAGCTCATCCATGTATCGCACCATCTCCAACTTCTCGCCCTTCTACCTCACCGTTGGCGCCTCCACCATCTCCCGCCGCTACCTCACCAACCTCACTCTCGCCGATGGGACAGTCCTTACCCTGGAAGGGCTGGGAGGCGGGAGCGTGAACACCCAGAACGTGGGGATCGTGGATTCTGTCCTCGCTAAGAGCTCCTCCGTTACAAACTTCAAGGCGGTGTACTGCTACGGCTCGTCGCTCAACTCTGCTAAAGTCTCGGGGCGGATCCTGGTTTGTCAGTATGGCGGCGGGGCGACTCTTGAAACGAAAATCAGAGAAGCAATAGCACGGGGTGCTAGAGCACTGCTGGTCATGAACGTGCCTGAAAGTGCAAGATACTACCTGCCCTATGATTCCCGCCTGCCCATGATGTATGTCGACGCTGCTGCAGCCGCCACTATCCGAACATTCATCAGGTCCCAGACCACCCCGACAGCCAGCCTTGCCACCTCTTATGTAACAGATCCCGCCGCTGCTGTAGCTCCGGTTACTGCATCGTTCTCCTCTACAGGGCCAGTTGCCAATCCCGACGTTGCCGTCGGCGCGACCTACCCGACCAATGACGTCCTAAAGCCGGATGTGATTGCTCCCGGCGTGTCACTCTGGGGGGCGTGGCGCGGCTCGTCGCTCGCCACAAAAACAACTGCTCGCTTCAACATGATTTCTGGAACATCCATGGCTACGCCGCACATTGCCGGGATTGCTGCGTTGCTCATCCAACGGAATCCCTCGTGGACTGCGCCGCAGGTCATGTCTGCAATGATGACCACCGCCAGCACGACCAACAACCTCGGGATTCCCATCAGCACTTCTTCTGGAGCCCCTGCCTCTCCCTTTGACATGGGTCAGGGGCATGTGGACCCCGAGAGGCTTCTCGACCCAGGGCTGACCTACCCTGCCGCCCCTGCCCATTACTTGAATTTTCTCGCGGGGCAGAATATGACGAGGGCGCGGCTACTTGTATCGAGAAATACGTCCCTGAATGCTATCCCTGCTTACAACCTCAACCGGCCACAGATCTCGGTTTCGCGGCTGCGAGGCGTTGTGAATGTGACGCGGTGGGTGGTGAACACGGCCACCGTTGTCTCAAATTACACTGGAGAGGTGGTGCCTCCTTTTGGCGCGAGTGTGACTCTTTACCCACCCTCGTTTACGATAGAGCCTGGAAAGACTAAGGTGTTCACAGTTGAGTTAAAGGCCACGGGTGTGTCCTCCGGCTTCTCGTTTGGTAGTTTGACGTGGAAGGATGAGCTCGGGCATTCCGTGCGATCTGTGATTGCTGTGCAACCCATATCCATGTAGCCTGCTTTGTACAAACGGGGACGTTTTTGTCTCCTTGCCTGGCTACTCCACAATATGGAAGTCCATTAACGCACCATTTTTTGGGTTGCGTAGCAACCTTATACATTCGTTTTCACTTCTCGGTTGGCTGATGTGAACAGTGAATTTCGTTTATAAAATTTGAAAGAAATCACTGTTCACATACCGTAGCTTCCCCAAAAAAATATGAAAACAAATGTTTCCTATCATTCCATAATCGTCGATAAGTACGGCGAATGGAACAATTGGAGAATCGTTCCAGCACTAAAGATGATACGGCACCCAATGACACACGAACACAAGGGACAACACAAAAAATACTACAGTACCACCGAGAGACACACATACACAAATGACCACAAAAACGATGGTGTACAAGAACCGTCGTACATGTTTTGAAGGGAATACTAAATGCATCTATGCAACAACTGAGACAGATATGGTACGGAAGAGGCGAGCAAAGCTGCCCCGACGGTCACAATCCCAGTTGCATACACGAGACACTTAGCACCACACCCCCGAAACAAGCACAAATGTTACGGGTGCAATTAATCGAAGTAGCGAGAATTGCACTAAGGTGTCAAACGAGTACAAAGATGTGAGTGAAGGCATGAACGAACATTTATACGCGAAACATGCAAACGGTAACGCGGTGCGTGCGAGCTAGCTAGTGCTATGCTGGCAGCGAGGCTCGGGCTAGTTCCGAAGCGTAGGCCGACACGGCCGTGCCAGCAGTGCGAGGTTTGGCAAAACAGTGCGCGCGAAGTTCGCAAAGTGCCGTTAGCAGTAACGGGCGAACAACGGCTGTAGCTGTACGCGATGTAGTCGGGCTCCGTAAGGAATGCCGAGAAAATTCCTTACACTAACCCCCCCCCCCCCCCCCCCCCCCCCCCCCAAGAAGCCCCCTCCGCTACGCGAGTGCGTGTATATCACGGAATCCCCGGCTCCTCAGGTACACTTGCAGGGCAGGGTGGTTTTCAATGTTGGCCAGGGGCACCCAGCTATCTTCAGTTGGCGTGCGGTCCTTCCAGCGAACGAGGAATTCAATCCTTCTGATTCCCGTGGGGTGTCGAATCCGATGGTTCAGGATTTTTTCGGGCTCGATGATCGACTCCAATGCAGGGCGAGTCATGGATGGCGAGCGGTGGCGAGGCAGTTGACTTGTGGTTGGGATGTATGGGCGAAGGAAGCTGACGTGGAACGAAGGGCTGATGTACCAGTCGGTCGGTAACAGTAGGTGCACGGTTACTGGCGTAATCATGTGGCTGATTTGAAATGGGCCACAGTAGCGCGGTCGAAGTTTTGGTACGTCGGGCAGTTGCAGATTTTGCATGTCGAGTAGTACGTAATCCGCTGACTGGTATGTGACTGGGCGGCGGTGGCGGTCAGCGTTGCGCCTTAGCGATGACGTTTGCTTTTTTAATTGCTTCTGCGGCTCTGGTGCGGGCAGCTTGCAGAATTTCGGCGAATTGCTGTGCACGTGGTGTGGGGTTGTCCGGACTCGGCGTCATGGGCACTGTAGGATTTTGCTCGTAGTTCAGGTAGAAGGGGGACTGCTGCGTCGTCGCTGACGTGGCGTTGTTGTACGCGAACTCGATCAACGGCAACAGCTATTCCCAAATTGTGGGGTCGTCGCACGTGGCACGAATCAACTGCTCCATCGTCTGATTCGTCCGCTCCGTTTGACAGTCCGTCTCGGGGTGGTACGACGAATTGAACTGTAGCCTGGTCCCGAACTGCTCCCAGAGGTTCTTCTAGAAGTTGCTGGTGAACTTCGTGTCCCTGTCGCTGATAATCGCTGCTGGTATCCCGTGCAGGCGAACAACGGGTGCGATGAACAGACGAGCGGTCTCCTCGGCTGAGATAGACTTTTTGCACGCAGCGAAGTGTGCCATCTTCGTCAACATGTCAACGACGATCATCAGCGCGTCGTTACCCCCAGGGTTCGAAGGTAACTCTGTGACGAAGTCCATGGTAACCTGCTGCCAGGCGCGTTCGGGCGGTGGTATCGGCTGCAATTGACCCACCTTCCTTTTCCTCGAGCTCTTCATCACCTGACACGTGGGGCACGAGCCCACGTGTTGCTGCATGTTGGTCAACAACTCCGACCAATAGTAATACCGCTGCAGTTGCTGTCGCGTTTTTTCTACCCCAAAATGTCCCGAGGTAATTCCGTCATGTGCCTCCTGCAGTAGCAGCTCCCTCAGCAGTGAGTACGCGGGTACCCAGATTCGGTTGGTGGTTGTTTTTACGTAATAAACTCATTTAGCTTCTGCAAGTTGCTGTGAATTTCTGGTCGTGAAAAACAAGTCAATGCGATATCCGTGGGTGAATAGGCCTGTTAAAAGCGAGTTGGTTTGGGTGAGTAGGATGGCATGGAGTTGGGCGGTAGGGCGAGTGAGTGCGTCGGCGATGTTGGAGGCGCCTTTCTTGTACGTAACTGTGTAGTGGAAGTTGGACACGAGGTAGTCCAACCAGCGAATCTGTCGCGGATTGAGATTTGGTTGGGCGCGTAGGTACAGTAGTGATCGGTGGTCTGTCCGTACTGTCACGTCGGTGCCAGTCAGGTAACGCCACCAAACCTTGAACGCGTGCACGATCGCCAACATTTCGCGGTCATGTATCCGGTAGTTGCTTTCGGGCGGGTGCAGCTTGCGGGACTCGTACGCAATTGGCTGGAGGCCGTTCTCGAAATCCTGCAACAGTACTGCTCCCACAGCGATGTCACTTGCGTCAGTGATGAGCTCGAACGGACGGTGTGGATCTGCAATGTGAAGCACGGGCGGTGAGCACAAAATGTTTTTGAGGGCCGAGAAGGCAGCTTGCTCTTTCTCCCCCCACGTCTACTCAACCCCCTTCCTCAGCAGGTCTGTCAGCGGGGCAGTCAGCTTCGCCATGTCGGGGACGAACCAGCGCACGTAGTTGACGAACCCCAAAAAACTCTGCAACTCGTTCAAGTTGGTCGGCGCGTGCCATGCTTGAATCATCACAATTTTCTTAGGGTCTATTTCCACTCCTGCAGCTGAAATAACGTGTCCCAAAAATTCCAGGCGGTCGTGTAAAAACTCACACTTAGACGCTTTTGTCAGTAGGCGGTTCTCACTCAGTATTTTAAAAACTGCTTTGATGTCCTGTAAGTGCTGTGCTCTGTCAGGGCTGTAAATCAGTACGTCGTCCAAGTATACGATGACGCACTTATCTAAGAGCGGGCGGAAAGCTTCGTTCATGGTCATTTGAAAAGTGGCGGGGGCGTTGGTCAGTCCGAAGGGCTTGACGGTGTATTCCAAGGATCCGTAGCGTGTTCGAAATGCGGTCGAGGGGATTGAAGCGAATCTGGCGGTAACCCCCTTGGAGGTCGATTTTCTAGAAAACCCGGGCTGTGCGCAGCTGGTCGATCAGTTCGTCGGCTCGAGGGATGGGGTAACGGGATTTGATGGTAACTCTGTTCAGTGCTTTGTAATCTATGCACATGCGAAATCCCCCGTCTTTTTTCAGTGTGAACAGTATCGGTGCTGCAAAGGGCGACGAACAAGGGCGAATGAATTCCTTCTCGAGCAAGTAATCGAGCTGCTTCCTCAGTTTGTCCAGTTCGGGCTGGGTCAGTCGGAACTGTCGCCGTACTGTTGGCTGTGCCCCCAGTTCTAACTCTATCCTGTGGTCGTGCAGTCGCTGAGGTGGCAGTCCCGTCGGTAAATCGTCCGGGAAGATGTCGCTGTACTGTTTCAACAGTGCTGCCAGGTCACTCAGTATGTCGGCCAGCAGATTCTGTAAATCCCCTCCTGTGTCTGCTGCCTCGGCTTCCCGAATGTCGACCACGTACACGTCAGCTCCTACCGCTACGGCGCGTTTCATTGTGATCGCGTTGACACGCACCGACGAAGACTCCGGCGAGCCCCAACGAGGTAAGGCGATGTTGTTACCATTTGATGAGAAACGAGAATGAGTCATTGAGCAGGAAGGGGAGTACAAGTCGGAAACCCTAAAGTGTTGTACCCCATATGAACTGCCCCACTACAGCCTACACAAACTATAGCATATATGCCTTACACACCCCCATAGGCAAAGTGGGGGAGAACAAGAGGTCACAAGACAAGTCAAGCAAATAAAAGAAAGCTCAGGGTGAATCACAACGTCACCAAACAATCCGAGCACAAGAGCAAGGCCAAAAGGCCAGTTCACATGCAAGATCATATATAAAGGTAAACAAGCAAGTGCAGGTATAGAAAGATCACAGTACAAGCAAGGTCAAGAACTGAGCAAGTGAGGCCAAGTAGGCACAAGACCTAGCACAGTACAGAAGCGCTGATAATCACAAGGCGGAAGGGCCTTGGTGAAGATATCAGCAGTGTTGGCCTCCGAGGCCACGTAGGTGAGGCAGAGCTGACCACGCTGTTGCTGCTCAAGAGCCAGGAAGTAGCGGAGAGCAATGTGCTCCGTTCTGTGCTCCAGTCTATGCTCACGACACAAGGCCAGCATGGTCTTGTTGTCTACATACAGAACTGGAGGAGAACGAGGCGGCTCTCCCAGGTCAGTCAGTAGATAGGTGAGCCAGCGTAGCTCCTGTGCAGCCATGGCCCCTGCGTAGATCTCAGCCTCACAGCTGGAGCTCAGAACAGAAGACGAGCGGGTAGACCGCCACGAAACAGAGCCGGAGCCAAGGCTGAAGGTGTAACCCTGTGACGACCGCTGTGTCGGCTGGTCGTCAACCCAAGAAGCGTCAGCGTGACCTGTGAGGACTACTCGACGTCGCCCTCCAAGCACTAGCCCCATGCCTGACGTACTACACACGTAGCGCAACACCCTCTTCGCTGCAGCCATGTGCTTTGGTCGGTGTCTCCCAGGAGCAACATAGCGTGCCAAGATGCTAAGAGGGTATGCAAGGTCAGGTTGTGTGCAGGTCTTCAGGTACATGAGGCAGCCAACAAGCTCTGGGTACGGGCCACTTGACTCTACGAACTCATCCGAAGGCAGAACTGAGAGCG